CGGGCACTGGCTGGGACTCTGAGCTCCCGGGTAGGCTCCGCTGCTCAGATACTGGGAACCCCCACCTGCTTGGAGGCCCCCTCATGAGTCAGCTGGGTCCCACACCCCAGGGCATCGTTCCCCTCTCCCCAAACGCCGCATTGCACGTGCCCAGGATCCTGACAGGTGGAGAAACGGGGGGGTTGGGGGGGCGATCGTGGCATGACAGCCCCCGTTGGGAGGCTTTTTCCCTCTCTCTCTCTCATATATGCAGGTGCCCTTTGACATAGAAAAGAAAAACGAAAGAAACGTATACTGAATTGCTCTCTCTAGAACTTTAAACAATGAAGGGCCAGCACGCAGCCCGATCCTTCTCGGTTTTGCTTTTAGGTCTGTGATCCATTTTGATTCAGCAAACTCACTCCTGGGTATTTCGGAAGAAATGGAAACACTTGAATGCTAGCGTTTATAACAGTTGTGGGGTTTTTTTGTTGTTTGTTTGTTTTTGTTTTTGAGAGATGTTTGCCATAGTGTGTGTGGTGGCTGGAGAGACAGAAACAGTGAAAAAAATCATTCCCCAGGAGGGTTGGCCTTCTCCTCCATTCTCCTCTCAGGATTTTGGGCACGCATGCACACACACTCAGTGTAAATTTTAAGCCGTTGGGTTGGGGATTTAAGCCACAGTCAACTAGGTGAGGGTCCAGTCACCTAACCAATAGGCCGGCCATCTGGTGGTACCGATCAGTTGTGTTCTTAATTATCAAAACCTAGAAATAGCCCAAGAATTCACCAGCTATGAATGCATGAATCAATTATGGTATAGTCATGCCGTGGAGACCACTCAGTAAAAAGGAGTGGGTGCATAATATATGCAACCGCATGGGGAGATCTCAAAAGCATTACGTTAAGTGAAAAAAGTCAGACTGAGAAGACTACATGTTTGATTCCGCCATGCCACTCTCTGGCAAAGCCAAAGTGGTAGGTACAAAAACCAACTCAGTTGCCGGGAGTTCGAGGTAAGAGACTGACTATGAAGGGCCATGAAAAATTCAGGAAGAGATAGACTTGTTCTAGATCTCTGTTGTAGTGGGGGTCACGTGACTACATACCTATATCCAAACTCGAGGGTCAGATGGTGGTGGCACAGTGCTAAAACAAAGCTCTGCAAGGCAGACCCACAGAGAAGGTTCCTGGTTTGCCCCCGGAGTCTTCCCTGAGTCCTCGAGCCGTGTGTGCCCATGAGCTGGCCAGCCAGGCCTGAGGGTGGGTTGCAGCATCAAGACCCTATTCGGGGTGTTCAGTCTCTCCCTCAGAATAAATAAATAAAAATTTTTGAAATTCATAAATCTGTTGATCTAAAAAAGGTGAATTCTACTGATTATAAATAATACCTCAATAAACCTGACTTTTAAAAAGAAATGAGTTCTGAGGCCAGCAGGTGGCATGGTGGTTAAAGCACTGGATTTCCACATGGCTGAACACAGTTCAAGTCCCAAACATGGCAGCTTAAAAATCATACCAGGTGCCTGTGTGTATGTGCCCAAAATTGTGAGAGGAGATTGGAGGAGAAGGGATTGCGGCGTGGCCATCACCCTGGAGGGTGATGTCTCACTTTCCCTCTGTCTGTCTCTGTCTTTCACCAGAATTACTTGTGCCCTATGGCAAAAAATTTAAAAATAAATAAATAAATAAAATTATAAAATGGGTTCTGAGTAGCTTGTAAGTAAATAATGAGGACATAGGTTTATATTACGTATCTATTGGTATGTCACAAATTATGCCAACACTTCGCATCTCAAAACAACAATAAATACGTAATAAATAAATACGTAAATAAATAAAGTTAAATTATTCTTTAAAAAAATCAGATTGTTATTGTTTATTAACTCAGTTTCTGAGGGTCAGGAATTTGGGTGGGCTGGCTAATATCTCTCAGGTTATAGCCACCATGTCACCCGGCGCTGTTGTCATCTGAGAGCTTGACTGGGGCTGGCCCATCTGCAAACTAAGCTCCTTCCACGGAACTGATTAGGTAGAAGAGGCAGCCTCTAGACTCTGAGCTCAGTTAGGAACCTCCAGGCAGAGGTAGGGCTTGTCGAGGCAGAGTTCCTGGGGGGTGGGGGGTTCCCTGCTGTGTTTAGAACAGAGGGGAGACTTAGGTGCTGGGCCAGGAGACTGCAGTGCACATTCTGGGCCCTTCCACAGGCCCGGGCCTTGCCCAGGTTCACGGTCCCGTGAACTTGCTCGTCTGCCATGATGGGTTTGTCCCATAGCTGGTACCACCAGGGAGGGACCTCTGGTCACCTGGCAGGAACGTGGGGAAGGGGCCTCACAAGAAGAAAGAGCAAGGACTACAGGGCCCCGAGAATGACCCCCTCCGCAGGAAGGAACAAGAAGCCATGTTGAGCAGGACTCAGTGACTGGTTAGGGCTTGGGGGAGCAGCAGTCCCAGTGGTTGCTACCTGAATCTGTCCCAAGCCAGGCCCTCGACAACATACGATCTCCAATGAGGAAAGAGCTGACCTAAAATGAAAGCATTTGCTTCGTTTTTTTTGTTTTTTTGTTTTTTTTTTTAATTTTTAAATTTTTGCCATTGGGCAAAAGCACTCTCCAGAGAGAGAACAGAGTGGGAAAGTGAGAAACTGCCCGTTGACCACACTGCAATCCCTTCTCCTCCATTCTTCTCTCTGGACTTTGGGCATGTGCCCACACATACCTGGCATGATTTTCAAGCTGCCAGGCCCAGGACTTGAACCACCGAGTTGGCCATATGGAGTTCAGCGCCTTAACCACACACCAGCTCCTGGCTTCCAGCATTTGCCTCATTACATTCTGTGATGCCCAAGGTCTACGCATCTCTCCTGGGGTCTCTAAGAATTTAAGCCAAGAAGATGAGGACTCAAAAGTCATTTCGTGTCACAGAAGAAATGACATGTGACAGGGGCCCAAGGAGACAGCAGAGCAGTGGCTGGGGATGAGTCATCATGCTGAACCAAACAGGGGCACGAGGGCATCCCCTCAAAAAAATAAAAATAAGATCAAAACCAAACCTGGATACTGTGTTGATGCAGGACGGGCTATTTGACTAATAAAATAAGTGTCTTCCTGGTAAAGTGACCTTATCCGTACCCTGTTCTGGTGAACCCTGAGAACATTCCAACTAGAAGTGAATAACAATCTGATTTTTTTTTAAGAATAATTTAACTTTATTTATTTATTATTTATTTATTCTTCTTTGATTTGCCAGAGAGCAGATGCACTTGTCAGTGAAAGAGAGAGAGAAGGGGGAGAGGGAAAAAGCACCCTCGTGTGGAATGGTCATGCCATAATCTCTTCTTCACTGTTTTTCCATTTTTGAGCACACACGTACATGTGCCTGGCCTATTTCTCAAGCCTCCAGGTCTGGGGATTTGAACTGCCTGGTCAACCATGAGGGATCTGGCTCCCTTAACTTCTGTCAAGAGGTCGGCCCCATGAATTTCTTCTTAAACAAACTCTTTAAAATTTTATTATGCTGGGACCAGCAGTTAGCATAATGGCTATGTTGCTGGACTCCCATGTAGTCAACTGCGGGTCGAGTATCGGACCCAGTGGCTTAAACTCACACCGGGTGCGTGTGCGTGTGTGCCCAAGATCCCGAGAGGAGAATGGAGGAGAAGGGATTGTGGCGTGGCCACCCCCCCGGGGGGGGATTTCTTCCTCTCTGTCTCTCTGTCTCTCTCTGTCTTTCTGGTGAGCATATGCACCCTATAGCAACAACCTCTCCAGAAAAAGACAAAAAAAAAAAAAAGCAGTTATGGTAAAAATGACAAGTCAGCTCATTGCCGAGTGCACTCACCAGAGACAAGACAGAGAGACAGAGAGGAAGAAATCACCCCCCAGGGGGGTGGCCACGCCACAATCCCTTCTCCTCTCGGCATCCTGGGCACGCATGCACATGTGCCCGGCTGAGTTTTAAGCCTCCTGACCCGGGACTCAAACTGCCCTATGTGGGAGTCCAGCGACGTAACCATTACGCCATCTGCTGGTCCCAGATCTTTTCTATTTTTAAAACTTTAATTTAGTTTAGAGCCAGACTTTCCAAACTTGACAGCCACTAAAATTCAGCTAGAAATTGCGAACATTATATGGTGGTCCATCGGGCCACTCCCTGGTGGACACCCTCCCTCCTCACCCCCTGCCCTGGTGCACCTCCCCTCCCAGTATCTCCCAGGCCAGGCCAGGCCAGGCCCTTCCAACGGGGTTTTTGTGGGCTTTGTGAGGCTGTTGGCAAGTCCCTCTTCCGAAGCTTCTTTCATTGTTTCTCCCGCAAGCAGAGAACGGCAAGGACAGATTTTCCATAAAAAGCTAAGCTTTTATGTAACCCAAAGCCTGATTCATCTTGCTTTCCTTAATGAATGCCCAAATGGATTTTTATTTTTACATTCTAAAAAAAAAAAAAACCTCTATCCTTGAGTCAGCAGTAAGTGGTATTTTTCTTTGTTAAGTTTTCCTATTCCTTATTAAAATGATAAACTACCAGGGAAAACTCTGCCAGTCATTTTTTCTGGGGGACATCAGCATCTCCAGATTGGGCAGAGAAGGGGCAGGCAGGTTCTGCTGGCGCATGTGGGGGCCACGTGTGGGAAACGGGGGTCCAGAGAGAAGACAAGGGTGAGTAGCTGCGGAGAAGGAGCGATGACCCCTGAATTCTAATGCTCTGCAATTCATTTCAAGGACAACTGTGAATAGGACTTGGGCTAAATATCCTCAAATAACCTCCCCTGTGTTTATACACGTCTCCTAAACGGGAAACTTTCACTGCCCCTCCACTCCCA